GGAGGGGAAAGCTTCACACACCACAAATTTTAAGCAGAGGTAACATTTTCTAGTGTTCTGAAAACAGAACAAAATACTTTGCAAATTCATGTTCAAAACTCCATACTACTTCTTCCAGACATGTCTTCAGCAAGGTAATGGTATAAATAGGAATCTAAGAGGCTGCTCCCATCTTTATTTCTTTACAGAGGGATGAGTCAGAATATTTTTTCTTAAAATTGGTCTTAGCATTTTTCAAAACTGTTTGAGGACATTATTACAGCCCTCTTAACACAGTGACACAAACTATTTGTCTTTTTCCTTATATGATGTCTCACTTTGCCAAATCCTAGGAATTTTCAAACTAAGAAAAACAATTCCCAATTTATTTTTAAGAGATACATATAGTCAGATTACATCCACTCTTCTTCAATCACCTTAAAGAGAAATGCCTCTTTCTAAAAGTCTTCTACAAAATTATTGTAATTCCTTTCTATCAACTCACAACTCTCTAAAGGCACCAGAAAGATAGGTCCCCATGCATCCACACAATAGTTTTGGAAGGGAAGTATTGGCAAATAAGTTGGTATATTTAAGGCTTATAGTTTTTTGCATAAGAAAAGGCTACGGCAGTCTCACCGGCAGTTAGACACACACAAGAAATAGCAAAATAAATGCAAATAATAATAATATTGGCTACCAGGCGCCTGATTAATTCCTTCAACATGTTTCCGATTTGACTGCTCTATTTCCATTAGAGCAAGGCCTCCAGAGAACTGCACTCAGCCAACCTGCGTCACCGCTATTGAACACACGGTAGCTCTGATCAGTCCTGCACGTTCCTGATCAAGAGCGCCCACAAGTAACCAACCACCTGCCTGAGCTTTGAAAGCGCTTGCCCAAAGCCTCTACCCTACTCTAGCCCGGGATCCAGACATGCTCAGTTTCTTAGTAGAATCCCCGGCGCAAAGCTGCATTTTAAACCGATGCTTTGGGATTGGTGCTGTGTGCATAACTTCCTCGGCCCTCTGCGCCATGCATTATGCATAGCGCCTCAGCTGAAACGTTTGCAATATCACCTCTGCACACCTGCCCTAGTTTAGGATTTTTAGCTTAAAGCTCCTCGTCCTTTCTCTTCCCCCCGCCCCCATTTGTATTATCAATTATCTCTATGAATGCACCCTCAGCTGGAGCATTTGCAATATCACTTCTGCGCACCTGCCATGAGCTGGGATTTTCTGTTTATCACCTCAAGCCCAGTCCCTTCCCTCAGGCTCATCCTATGATCAATCCATCATGCGTGCATCAAAGGTAGGCTCAAGCCTCATGCAATATCACGCCTGCACACCTGCCCTTCGTTCGCCGCTGAATCTATAACCCACACACCGTCTTCCACCTCATGCATCCTCACTCTCTCCGGAATCTAGGCTAAATTGCTCCTTTCCCCTGTATTTAAACGCCGTCTCCATTTCCTACTCCAATAAAACGCGCTGAAACAATATTTTTTTTTTTGCAACGCTAAATAGCGTGCATGCTTTAAACCAAGTGGGGAGAAGCTTTTGGACTGTGCCTACGAAGAGCCGAGGTTACAGAAACAGCAGCGAGTACTTTGTATTTTCCACCCCTCCTCCCCCCCCATCTTGTCCCAAAGGCCGCTGAGCTATTCCAGCCCCGGCTGCTAACCTGGGGCGGCCCCTTCTGCAGCTGCCGCTTGCTCGCGCGCCGCCCACCTGGTGGAACGCTGGCTCGGCTCGCGCCTGTGCGCGCGCGCTGCCTTGCCAAGCAGCCGTCCTGGGAGCTCTGCTGAGCGTCGCAGGTTGGGAGCCTCCTGCAACTCAAAGCAAAATATTCCCCTCCGTGCAAAAGCATCCCCACCAGCCGTAATAATAGGGGGATTGCGCGTTCCCTTGTGCACAGACGCTAAGGGGCTGGCTGGGTGGCTGCAAGCAAGCTGCTTGGAGCTTGACCTCTTTTTAATTTTTTGGACTGCAGGCAGGAGTGCCAATCCCACGTGAGCTGAGGGGGGAAAAGACGGACGCTTGGCGGGGTAAGTAAAAGTTTGCCCTAAACAGGGTGCGTGTATTGGTGGGAGGCTCAATTAGGTAGAAGCCGTGGGGACTCAGGAGAGCAATTAGATATCCCCTGCAATGCAACTACTTTTGCAAACTCTTGCTTGGGTCCTTCTGCCACCCATCCGCCCCACCAATCTGTGCAAACGTGTTTGCCTTTTTTTTTTAAAGTTATAAAATGGGATCGCAGACTTCTCTCTGTATGTCAGCACCGTATACACCCGGCAGGTCATTGCATGGGGCTGCACCCCCACCGCTGCTAAAGCCCTAAAGGCGGTGATGGGGGGAATCTTTAAAATAAAACGCCCCCCCCCCAGCTACGTTGTTTTTTCGCTTGGAGGGCTTAATGAACGTGAACAAACGGGGAAATGCAAATCCGAGAGTGGAGGGGGGGGAGCCCCCCCCCCCCCAGCTACGTTGTTTTTTCGCTTGGAGGGCTTAATGAACGTGAACAAACGGGGAAATGCAAATCCGAGAGTGGAGGGGGGGGAGCCCCCCCCCCCCCAGCCTGCAAAGAAGGCGAGGGAAAGTCCGTAGACGTGGGAAGAACGACCCCTGCAGTTGTATTGCGGAAAGGCTTGAAGGGGAATTAACGAAGCCGAAGCGTTGGGGAAGGCGGACTGGGCTGGGATCCTGGGTTCTGCTCTAGTCCGTGTGATGTCCGCGAAATAACGCGCGTGGGGTGGGGTCTCCCGCGTAGCACCGTGTGTTAATCTCCTTCTGATCACTTTGTAGAAGCAGGAGAGGACCCCCTCCCCAAAGCATGGGGTTTTGGGGCAGTGCCCCGGCGAGGCGTGAAGAGTTCGCGGGTAACTTGCAGCCAGCTGCCCTGGAATAGTGGCTCTCCGGACCGGATCAGCTGGCGTTGCTCGTCTATGTCTTGTTGGTGGATTTTTCTCTCGCTCCTGGAGGAAGAGCCCGGAGCCGCGGGTTGCCTTCGTCTTGGTCATTTTTGGAGGGCGAGGGAAGGGAAGGGATCTCGCTTGAGCTGTGCAGCGAGAGCGCTCGGACATGTGTTGTCAGCACATCTGGGGAATACAGTCTGCGAGTCCGAAGGGAGCTTTGCTGGGATCCTTCAAACTGCGATATTGATCTTTGTTGTTTCTTTTCGCCGAGGGATGCACTTGGCATGAGAATCGGAGGATGGAAATTGTTTGGGAGGTGCTTTTTCTTCTGCAAGCTAATTTCATCGTCTGCATTTCAGGTACGCAAACATGGAAGGGGAGAAAATACCATGCAGTGTATTCGGGTTTCCCCGTCCGTAGAAGTCTGAGAAATTCAATAAAAAAATGGCAAAGATAGCGCTAGGAATGGAGGGGGTCTATATTAGTTGAAAAGATTTGTTAGGTGCCTTTTGCCCCACTCTTTACTCCGGTAGCAGTGCATTAATTACGGTGAATTGGTTGCAGTAATTAATTGTAGCGCTTTGGTGACACTCGGGTAGTAATTCCCAACATACAGCGAGTGCAGTAATTGATGGCTACATTGCAGTAATCCCAGCATGGCATGGCTTTTACAGACCTAAAACTCGGTTGATTGGGGGGGGGTTAAAAAAGATTGCAGTTAACTGACATGGTTTTCATGGTCTGGTGTGCTGCAGTTTTTAGGGGTTGCAAAAGATGGAATAACAGTGAGCAGTGTGCATCTGTTTAATGCAGGTTTGTTGTGTTGTGTAAAGGATTTTTTTTTCACAAATCCCAGACAACAACAAGTGTGGATGGGAATCAAGCTCTTTAGTTTCAAGGTTGCAAAGATCTCCTCCGTTCTACAGAAGTCAGATAATTTCAGTTGTCACCAGAGCCTGTCCAATTAATGAGTAGGCATAGCAGGATATCTAGTGTTAAGGATTAGAACAATTTATTCTTGGGGGGAGGGAGGGCTTCTTTTCTACTTCAGAAGCTCTGGCTAGTTCATTAATTTATGAGGTCATTCATGCTGGAATAATTATATTGCAGGAACGGACCGTGGGGGAGAGGCAGCTAGGTTTCTAGTTTGGGATGGCACCAGGGGGATTCAAGCTGCCTGATCTGCTTCTCTTCCCTGCCCTGGAGTCCTTGCATAAGCCTGCGAATGGGAACTCTGGCAGCATCAGCTATTCCAGTGCAGAGAGGGAGATCCCCGTGAGCTCCAGTGCAGAGCTAGGAGCACTTAAGGGAACTTGGAACTCCCCAGGGGAGGTTGGACTGAGGCCTCACTGGAGTGTCAGCACCTGCACCCTCCAGAGCAGCACTTGCATGCACTGGCATTCCCTGCACCTGTCCCTGGTCTGGTCCTGCTTCTCAACTGCTGGGCAGGCATCATCTACACTAGCCTTGCGCCCCACCCCCTATCCCTATACTGGCAGTAGCCACATAATTTTGCATGAGCTGCACCTGCTTCATCTCTTATCTCCTCCCTTCCCCCCTGTGCCCAGACTGGTAGTTCCTGAATCATCCCACTGAGCAATCCAGCCCCTTCTGCCTGCATTGGTACCCCAGGCATTCAGATTGGCACCCTCTGCATCTGGGTGGTGCATCCTATCTTCCTGGCAGCATCTCAGGCTGCCCTTATGCTAATCCACTCTCATCTGTGCTACCTGGGTAACCCGCCCTCCCGCTCCTTAGAATGGCATGACTCGCCCCACTGCCTCTTCCGTCTAAGCCTCACACGTTGCTGTCTCACCCAGTGTGATTTGCCAGCTGTCTGGCACTTTTCAAATTATACGTCATCTTTAAAAAAAAAAAAAAAAAGACCAAAAAAAAAAGCAGTGCAATAATGAGCCCCTTGGCGTGAGCATGGGAAGGAGGAATATTCTTGGTCATGTAAAACCGTCCTGAAACTGAGTGATATCAGCCATACAGGAGCTCTCTTGGCTCTTCATCTCTTCCTTCTGTCCCTTCCTTCTTTGGATTAAAAAAAATACAATGAGCCATAGGCTAATTTTTGCTTTGTGGGCTCAGTTTGTTTCAACTACATACAGAATCAGAGGGATAGCCCTATTAGTTTGTATGTACAAAACTAATGAGGAGTCCTGTGGCACCTTAGAGAAGAAATGGTTTTTTTTACCCACAAAGGCTTATTCCCTAATAAATCTGTTAGTCTCTAAGGTGTCACAGGACTCCTCATTGTTTTTGTTGTTGTTTACATACATTGAATCTTCAATTCCATACTTTTTTTTCCCCCTTAGGAATCCTCCTTTTTCATGAATTCTTAGTACTTGTCATTGCGGAAAGAAGGATTAAGATCTGCAGATATCTGCCTGACACTAATGCTTCAGCTCTCCCTTCTGCCCTCCCCCCCTCACTTCGGCCTTCTTGCACTATGCTCTGTAGCATATTACAGAAGCATACACTGTGATCATTCAATAATGCTGAGGTTCAAGAAGGCTTTGAATCCTCTGGAGACTTGTCCCAAATTAACATTTATGGCAGAATCTTTTTTTCTAGGTTATTCCACAACCTTATATTTGTAACCTGTGTTGTGCGGTCAGTATGATAATCACAGAAAGAAACTAATTGAGGAAAGTACTCCAGAAATACTTTTATTGCAAATCACAAAAATAGGTTATTTTTATATTATAGCATTTTTCTTGGACGCTTATTTTAGCAATGGAGTATGAAACTACTTTATCTGTTGTTGCTGAATATATGTATCTTTCACATGCAGTTACTGAAGGCCTGATTCAAAGTTCATTTAAGTGAATGTGAATCTTTCCCATTAACTTCAATGAATGATGGATTGGACTGTGTTTCATGTAGTTGATATCTACAGAGGCTACAATGCAAAGTGACGTCATGGATTTTCAGCTAAATACGGAAAGCTAGGTTTCCGTACCCTATCTGTTGACTGACTATACTAATAAAATAAAAATGTTTGTCTAGGAAATATATTCAACAGTATTTCAGACAGTTTTATATGTATTTCAAATTAAAACCTGTACTGAATATGCATGATGTTTTGCGAACATAACACCGACTAGAGCAGAGCCCAGTATCATAGCCCAGTTCTTCTTCCCAGTTATGTTCTTCTATTTCATATTTAACATGAAGATTGAAGAGTTAGCACATGCATACCACCCTCTGATGTCATAATTTCCCCTCTTTCATGTGACAGTTTGAGTTGAGAAGGAAGACTAATAGGAACAATCTTTTAAATCTCTGATATTGTGATAGACATCTTTAATTTTGATAGCATGTTAGTGGTGTTTTGGATAAGGACACAGTATTTTGTTTACTAAAAAAGTACAAGTATGCTTTTTTAAAGAATAAATACTTATTGTCAGTCAATTGCCACCTATGTATCTCATTCATCAGTTAACTTTGTGTGCCTCCGTTGGATTGGTCTGAGAGGAATGGTACTAGAATGCAGAAGTAAAACAATTGTGGTTTTTTTGTGTGTTTGATTTAGTGACTTTTTCACAAGTATTTTAGTTTGCACACTTGCATATATTGTTCATAAGCTAGATGCTTTTATTTTGTAGGAACATGGAATTATTATTTTTGCTGTTTGAAGCTGGTTATTAAAGAGAACTAAGCTTTGTCTGTGTGAATGATAAAATAAGAAGAGGCTTATTGGAATAAAAAATAATGTTAACTCCATAGAAGGGAATGACATCCCTCTTTTAGAAATGCACCAGTGTATTTTTATTCTTTTGTAAATAGTGTCTGTCTGATTCAGATGATTTTCACAGGTCCCTGTCCTTTAATGATGCTGCAGCAATGGCACTGACAGAATGAAGTGCCAATGTAGGTGTTGTCCTTTAGACAGGATGTTAAAATAAGATCCCTTCTGGATGTTATTTCAGTGGAGTTGCAGATAATCCTCACACCGAGAGGCAAGGGGATTATGGTCTGTGCTGTCATGGCCAAAATTCTCTTCCTTTGTGATTACCACTGTAGATTAATTAGTTACAATGTTCGCAACTATGGGTGGGATGTGGCTGCTCACATAATGGCTTCCTCATTTGCTAGTATATTACATAAACCTTGTGTAATATTCTTAGACATTTGTCAACCAAGAGTGATAGAAGATGCTCTTTTCAAACCTTTGCAATATGTTCCATTTAAAAGGGAAAAGTTGAAGTTGTCATTTAATGTTCTGGTTTCTCCTTAAACACTGTCTCTTTGGGTCCATTCAGTAGGCAAGTTTGTGGAACCTCCGTGCTCAGGTATTTCATCCCATACTGTAATTGTGATCATGTCCTTGGTCAGTGAAAAGCTTATATAAACGAAATGCACGTGCAAGTCCCCAAAACCCTTATTTGAGAATAGTCTTATCCTTGCTAAGACTTTGCTGTTCTCCAGACACACATAGCCCTTCTGCAACAATCCAGCAGGCAGCTGAGGTTTCCCATACGCAGGAATTCCTTAGTGGTCTAAAGCTGAGAGAACATTCCCTAGTATTGAGGAGTGTCCCAATGGTTGGTTCTGGGGCCAGTTTTGTTCAACTGCTACAGGCTGTCAAGGGACTGGCTAAGCAGCAGTTCTGTAGAAAAGGACCTGGGGACTACAGTGGATGAGACACACTGGATATGAGTCAACAGTATGCCTTTGTAGCCAAGAAGGCTAATGGCATATTGGGGTGCATTAGTAGGAACATTACCAGCAGATGGAGGGAAGATATTAGTCCCCTTTATTCAGCACTGTTGAGGCCCGATTCTGGGCCACCCTTTACAGACAGATTGCGAACACATTGGAGAAAGTCCAGAGAAGGACAACCAAAATGATTAGGAGGCTGGAGCACATGACATAGGAGAGGAGAGGCTGAGGGAGTTTGGCTGATTTAGAGTGAGGGGGGATTTGTTAGCAGCCTTACCTACCTGAAGGTGGGTTCCAGAGAGGGCGGAGAGTGGCTGTGCTTAGTAGTGACAGATAGCAGAATGAGGAGCAATGGTCTCAAGTTGCAGTGGGGGAGATGTAGGTGGGATATTAGGGAAAACTATTTCAGTAGGAGGGTGGGGAAGCACTGGAATGGGTTCCCTAGGGAGATGGTGGAATCTCCATCCCTAGAGGTTTTTAAAGTCCTGGCTTCACAAAGCCCTAGCTAGAATGATTTAGTTGGGGTTGGACCTGCTTTGGGGAGCGTGCTGGACTCCATGACCTGAAGTCCTTTCCAACCCTTTGATTCAGAGAGGGAGTATTAGAGCACTGCTTCATGCTGGTGTTATGGTCTTTGGGGAGTTGTCACCCACTGGCATAATGCAGAATAGCTTTTAAGGTGCTTTGG